GGGGGGAGACTGGGGGTTTTGACTGGGCAAAGGGCATTTGGTTGGACTCATGTGGTGGCATTAATGGAGGCCTGGGTGTCTTGGCTCTCTCCATGGAGCACATGGGAGGGGAAACTGACCTCTGGTGGTGGCTGTGGGGGAGCAAAGGGGAGTGCATGTGCCTCCATGTGCTGCACCAGCACCACCCCCTTCCCCTTGCTCCTCCCATTTCTGAGCACAGATCATATGGAAGAGTGTTGCCAAAAGCCTCGGGAATGGCCCTGGGGCTGGGGGGAGAGGGGGGGTGGGGGTCTCTGCTCTTGGGCCCTTCTGCTTCCCTTCTGTCCATGGCTTGTGTTGCCTCTTCAACACTGGGGGTGCCTCCAAACCTTTCCCTCTCCACCATTCAATTATTTTAGCTTGTGGGCTGCCCTCCATATGTCTCAAAGGACTGCTCTCAGATGGTGAGCCAGTCTCCTGGGGTTTAACTGGAGAGTGGTAAGAGATGTTATCTTGGCCATTCTGCCCTCCTCCACTGAGTCCTTAAATGGAGGCTACCCTCCCTCTTCTCCTCCCATCATTTGAAGCTCTCCAAGGAGCTACAAGGTAATCCAAACCTCTGTTACTATCTTCCCCCATCTCTGCCCTCCTACTGCATCTTCTTTCTCTGTTGGTGAGACCTGTCTGTTTTGCTATCTGCAGTAGCCACCTTTCTTTGGGTTGGACATGGAAGAGAAGAGAAGCAAGAGGAGGCGCGCCTGCTCGCCCGAACCAAACGCTGTAGTCTACGCCGGCTTCCCATGCAAATACGTCGGCTATCTCCTGCCAGCTCTCGCGAGAGCCACCTCCGGTGCTAAAGAACAAAAGATCGAACAGGTGGTGCGGTTCCAAGTCGACATGGCGCTGGTGCTCTCGGCCACTGGGTTCAAATGGAGCCGCGCCTTGAAGCACAAGCTCGAGCGCAGCGATCACATAATCGAGCTCCAGCGCCACCCCATCGCCGACAGCATCGATTCAAAGCTTCAGCTGTTTCTGCCTCCCACCGTCGTCGTCCCTCGGCCTCTGTCTCTGTCTCTTGTTAGGCCAAAAAGCCTGAGCCGGAGGAGTTACATTAGCTGCAGCAACAACAGCGTCAGAGGGGACGACGAGTTCAGCCGGCGCATGCGAGCTCTGCAGAGGATTTTGCCCGGCGGCAGCGAGATGCGTCCGAGGGAGCTGCTGTCGGAGGTGAAGAGCTACATGGTGTGCCTGCAGCTGCAGGTGAACATCCTGAGGACTCTTGTGGAGATCCACTGAGGGCTACCTGCGTCGAAGAAGGATATATGAGTGTCAACATACGTACCCCTCAAAACTGTAATCTCAGCAATGTAGCATGCATGCATGTCATCTTTTGTATGTCATCTTGTGATCATAGGTTAAGAGCCTTCAAAGTAGTAGCTTTATGTGGTGGTAATGCTACATATCAACCTATCTCAGGTCATGCAATCAAGACAACATTAATCACATTACACCCAAGCATGAGAAAAAAAAAAAAAAAGTGAAATGAGAGGGCTTATATTTTGATGCTTAAAATGCAGAAATGAAGAAAAGAAAAAGGCTCTCTGTATTCATTTTAAGAATCAGATTTGATGTTTACATCTAAAGGAGAAAAAAAAAAAACATATTTCATGCTATCTAAATAAGGAAAGTTATTATTTTTTCTATCATTCTTTCTGTTGCTCTCTTCCCCACTTTATCTTTCCATAAAAGGATACTAAATTTTAACTTTTTTGGCCACACTAAATCACAAGAGATACCAAGCAAGCAGAGATGAAAACCTTGATACCAATCTTCCACCACCTTTCAATTATGCAGTGCAATTCCTGATGATAGCATTCACATATACACATGATCCGAGTAATATACATAGTTCTGATATTAAAGTTATGTGAGAGAGGAACAAGAGAAAATACTAACTGAAGTATATTCAGGCTCAGTCTCACACACTTTCATTTCTTACATCTTACTGATGTGAGAAAGAGGAGGGAGGTAATATTTACTGAAACCTGTTCAAGTCTACTGCCACATTCTTAATGAGGATCCATCGGATCACCAGACGATGATTGATTCAACCAGGCCAACAGCCTCCAGAGCAGTCGCTTGCGCTTCTTGGGTTTGTTCGATAACTCCATCTCCGATATTCTCACCATCTCCCACATAACCTGCACATCCTGGTATCCACACATTTGAACATCATTTTGGAGCTTTATGATTCCACCACCTGATGCAAGGCCACAAAGGTGTTAGCTTCTCTGTGGTTTGCAGACCAAGAACAAGGTAACTGAAAATAACTCATGAAAATCTCTTATAAAGTATATGACAATATACAGATCTATTAATATCTGAGGTCAGTTTAACATTGGACTGAACAATATTCTTCTTCTACAAGTCTTTACCTATAACGTCCTGATTAGATTTCATTAAATTCTAGGTATTGTACCGAGGGATGTATGTCATGTAAGTATAATCATTTAATCGTATCGACCATTATCACTAAAACAAAGCTCATCACCCTGTTAACTAGTCTTTTCTGATTTTAGGTGATTTATGCAAATGTTGAATATTGTCCTCAAACCAGATTGTTCATGTTTTGGTGTTTTAACTCTTTTACCTCTCATGGATTCAAGACAACATTGTTCCACCCTCCTATTGTTCTTTTGTAATTAGGAAAAGGCTGATTCATTTCATTCTGAAATCCATAGCATGGACTTCCTCAATGTGCACAAATACAAGAGGGCAGAAATAATCTGAGTTAAAAAGCTGCAAAAAAGGTCGTAACATTAAGTTGTTTTTTTTTTCTTTGTAATATGGGTAAACAGGATTTAGGTCACAGAATAGTCTCTTGTTTGAACAAGTAAGACTGCATGCTTCAATCCTTATCAAACACCAGACTGGCAGGGGTGTCATATGAGACATCCCTAGACCCTAGCTTTCGGCATAATGGACTTCTATGAACTGATATGCAACACGAATCTTACAAAAGTTACTACTACTTAGGGATCGGGATCAAGCTTGGTGTGATCAAATACCACAATCGTCTACATGGAATTTGGAGTCTAGCACTAAATCACAAGAAAAATGAACTCCTGTATAAAGAAAGGCAACTATGCCACTTCCGCTGCAGAATGTTCTTCTCTTTTCTTTTGTTCTATAATTTTACTTTTGATACAAGAGCCCTACACCATGGAGATCCATCTCTCTTCCTCTTGACATAAAACATTTAATGATAGAAAGATGAACAAGCAGATGATAGGCTATACAGTAGAAACTATCCTTCGTAGCGAAAGATGATCCTGTTGGCAATTGAACACACACATCATCTCTGAAACAAGCAAGATGAAACACTATGAACTAAGTCCAGGCCAACAGTCTTGTTCCTGAACCATCTCAATTAAATACTATGGACAAACCATATCATCTCATTAATAAGCTTGAATCATTTGGGTGATTCATGACTTGCGCCATCAGAGTGACCTCAGTTCTCATTAGTTTGGACAAGACTCAAGCTTATGACTTGATTTGAAGGTTGTTCATTAAGTGTCGATTTAAAACCTCAGAATCAGCCTGTGGCTCACACTACAAACTCTGAATATAGACAATCAAGGTGCAACAATCTTGATGAATTATAGTGCGACAACAAAAAATGTCACAAAAAATATACTACTCTGATAGATGGCATCTGCTGAGAGCTCATGAATGTATCTAAAAGTATTTGATCCAATAATTTTGGTGACAATGAGACAAGAACAGAAGCTCAGAATTTTCAACTTAAACAGAGTACTAATGATAAGAAAGGCGAAAAAGTCATAATTTGCATTTTGCATACAAAAAAGCAAAAGAAAGAGAAACAAATATTGAATACTGTGACATTTATAAATCAAGTATGCAAATATAAAAGCATTCTTGAATGCTCAAAGTGAATATTGTAATTAAAAGAAGCACAAAATACTTTCATAAAAAAAAAGAAAACCGAAGGTTGTTCCTAAACAATGCGTACACAACTAAATGAGAAAATCGAAGTCTCTTAAGAGTGATTCTTACTAATCTAACTTTATACCGATCCGATGGGATCACTGACCCATAAATTGATATCCCAATAAGTATATGACATATAATACTCAAGTCTAAGTCTAAGTTAATTGATATCCGAAGTGCGAGAAAACTAGGATGTTGAAAATCCTGCCTTCACCACAGTATTAATTTATTTGAACATTATATTTAGAGAACTGACAGGAAAAGAACTGTGCATATTCATCATTAGCTATCTAAATTTATAGTAAAGATAGATATAAATGCATAATTACATATGAATTTATATCTAATATCACACAAACTTTTGACAGAAAAAAAAAAATTAAAGGAGCTAATTAGCTTATTTGCATGCCGCTATTAATGACCTATGCACTGATTTATATCTACGAAGTGAAATTTCCCAAGTATTTCTGAAGAGGAGAACCGAATTCATAAAAGGCGAATCGTTCTCATGCTCGGATCGCTATTTACGAGCAGGAGAGGGGAGCGGGTAAGCTTACCGTCGCTTGGAGGCTTGACCCGGGCGGCGACGGCGACACAAGCGCGCTTCACAGGGAACGCCACCACCTTGTGCCACCAGGCCATCACCTTCGCTCCCACTGTCCGCCGCCGGCTCGCGGCGTGCTTCTTCGGCGCGAAGGACCCCAGCAGCCCTCCTCCCAATCCTTAACACACACACCCCCTCATCTGGTACGTCCCCTCCGCTGCCGCCGCAGCCTCCTCCGCCTTCACTGCTCGGCCACCGATCCCCGTCCTTCCTACCCTAAGGAGCAATTGGTACCGTTGCGTTGTCCGCAACGCCTCTCCGACCGCCGTGCTATTGCCTTTATATATCCAAAAGAATTCATCTTGGAGCTTGATATTCTCACGCTCCAATACTTGCGTTTAGCTATCCCACCATAAAAGCCAGGGGGAATAGAGAGTGACTCAGAGCTTTCACATTCTCACTCTCCGATGCTTGCTTTATCAAGCCGCCCACATTTCAACAGTAGCACACCCATCTCCGCCCTCGTGGCTCTCTCACTAAAGCGGGTCCCACATGTTAAAAGGTTTGGGTGACACGAGGAGAGGGTCGCGCTTTTAATAGCATCGGCTCTACGCAACGGCCTGTGGCCACCGTCACTCTCGGGAGAATTAGCCACGCGGGACTCGCAACTGAAGCCAACAGCTCCTCTTTACGTGGGTCCCGCTTTCGGAACCATCAGCAAAAGACCACATCATCAAGAAAAAAATGTTCTCGCTGTTGGTCGTGGAACAGCCAGCATGGTTTGCAAACCACGCAAACACCGGAAGGACGTGGCCGTTCCCCTTGGAAGGATACGTGGAAAGAGGCTATTGGTCCAGTTTGGCGCTTGCCTCGTGTCACGTGTCTCGCCAGATGGACACGATAAATTGGGCCCTCGGCACAGAAGCACTGCTCCATCACTCGACTTACCCCACAACTCAAACTCTCCACAAACGTCGCATGTTCGTAACTAAAGTCGTGTCCATAACGAGGATGCGGTGAACCAAAGCCCTTGGCTCGATCGTTGCTCGTGAGCTCCTCGTATTGTGAGTCGTTACTCGAGCGGGGGTACATTAGACGGATCCATTTACCCATAATCCGTAACTCAATTCGTTAAATAAACAACAGGAACCTCCACACGATAAAAGAGAAAGGAATACAGAGTAATTATAGATTACTCCTTAGACCTCTTTTAGCATATCGGTCTCTAGACTTAAAAAAAATTAAATCTTATAGTTATGAAAATAAAATATTTGACCCCATTTACCATAATGCTATTAGCTTTACCAACTGAAGATACAATACACATGCATGACAGGAAAATAATATGCAAAAAGATAATTTCAATGGTGGATAGCTATTGTGATGGTAGTCAGTAAGAATAATACACTAATTGACCTTGTCGATGTCGATCCAAACATCAATGACAAGGGAGAAAAGGAGATAAAGTGGTGAGGCATCTATTGCTAGTCATAGGTGTCCTACAAGTTAATCACATGAGTGATGACATGTGTAACATGACATACAGTCTTTTTGCTTATTATTATGTCATTCTCTCACTCTATATATATATATATATATATATATTGATAATTAAATCGGATCATGATGAGATCATGATAATGAGACCGATTCACCTTTAAACACAGACCCTAAATAATCTTGGTTATAGGTTACTTGAGAAAAACATCGAGATAACCGAACAGACTGGTGTACTATATACTCATCCATTGCTCGTGTGAGGATACTAGCGATATAGTGCAGATGCTCATTGGAGAATGAGTTCACTAATTCGCTTATGAAATGCTTAACGATTAATGATATCTCATTATCATACAACGATTCTGTCATCCTAGTAGTGCATCTAGTCCTTAAACTTGAGACACCAAGGATATCATATATAAGTACTTCACTCTTTGATATCAGACTTATAGGTTTAGAAGTTCCAAATTTAATACAACCAGTCATTAGAAGTGACAGTCAACCTTACGAGGGCTATTACTTGTGGACTGCGATCTTGCTTATCAATACCTCATCAAGCCCGTTCGTTGAAACTTTGAATTCTTCCCCATTGAATGAGCTTGATGAGGCATTGATCAATAAGACCGTAGTCCAACTACTAGAAAGGCGAGGGATCAATGCAAGGCATCAATTGCTCCGTTTGCCTTAACATATTTCGGGAGGATGAGGCAAAGTGATGCATCACTAGAGGAGGAAGAGGAGGCATGTGAGACATTTGCATCGGTACCGCATTGCTCTGCCTCACCTGCATCCTCTTCCTCCCTTCTCGTTGTCGGCAATGCAAATGCCTCACCTTCCAACTCTTCCTTCTCTGGTACTAACACAGATACAAAGCGGCATCGAAGGAGGAAGAGAAGGTAGAGTAGTGCGATACCGACATATATGCCTCACCTCCCTCCACTTCCTCCTTCGACACCGACGTAGATGCCTCACTGCTTTACCTCTTCTTCCTCCTCATTGTCGATATTCAGGTCGATATCATTAAGATCGACCACTACATCATTCTCATTGACTACCACCATAATAGTCACCCATGATGTCATCCTCTGTAATCATCATGAAAATTATTTTTTTGTCTATCATTTTTGTGTTATTTATGCATATGTTATCACATGTTATATCTTCCGTCGGTAAAACCGTTGACGTTATGATAAATTAAGTTAAATATTTCATAGATTTCAATATAAATTATCTAAGTATGGAAATCGAAATGTTAAAAACGTAGAACTACTGTAATTAGTCCTACTCTAAGATTCACCACTGCCTAATTATCTTCCGCCTTCTGTTAGCTGACTTCTCCTTTCTCTCTCTCTCTCTCTCTCTCTCTCTCTCTCTCTCAAAGGGCTAGCGGTAATGGAGCACTAAGCTTGCGTGGAAGAACAATGCAATCAAGAAACAGCAGGATCTCTAATGGATACTGCAACCTTGGTGATGGCCATGCCACTCCGCTTTCCTTTTCCCTTCATGCTTCCTAGGCTTCCTCTTGCTATTGGTCAACCAGAAATCTAGAGAACAGAAACACATCTTATGCGGGTCCTCCCCACAAAAATACTGTGCATCAATGGAGAGACCACCGCGCATTTAGAGTGACCACCAGCAACTTCTTCAGTGTAGATTAATGAAATATCCAACTTTGTGATGTGTGTGATTGCAAGTCCACATCCAAATCCATTACTTATATTGGTTGTCAAACTCCATGGTATCTCCAATCTAGATTTTGTTATGCTATTGCTCCTGCAGTAGATAAGCATGATACTTCAGCACAGTTCATCAGTTTCAGGTGGGATAGTTGATGATCATGTTGAAACATCATAATTCCTCCATGAAAGTGGCAAAAAGGTAGATCAGGGAAGCCTAGAATGAAGACAATCTGCTAAGGGAGCACCTAATCCTGTCAATGACTCCATTGTGCTCTTGGAGATAAGCCTTAAGCACCACATTCTTCTTTTGAAATGGAGATGTCAACTAAAATGGCTGTTGCAAAAGTATAAAGTGAGCACTGCTGAAAAGGTAGGCAGCTTCTCCTATAACTCTGCGGAGTTCAAGTTTGTGTTGATGATACTGCAATCAAGTAGGCATCTTTCTTTCACCTTCTTCCTGTGGCATGTTTCAGATGGAAGAGAAGGGAAGAAGAAATAAGAGTTTGAGAACAATCTTTGGCCTATATGGCATCCACCTTTCACCTTCTCATATTTTCAGTTCTTGAGATGGGATGATCTCAACACCAAAAAGAATCTATATACCAACTTAGTGTCAGAATTAATCGTTGAGATCCCTATCATGAAATCGATTTAAATAAATCCAATTTTCAAGAGTTATTGTGATCTGAAAATTAGATCTTAGAAAAAATAATTTAAAATTTATTTTAAAAAAATTTATAGGACTCTAATGTAGCTAACAATATCACTTCGAAGCTCAAGTCGGTAAGATGCTTTATGCGAGAACTAAGAAAAGTGTTTTCATATTCTAGGCTATACCTGATTTATTATTGTTAATAGTGAGTGACTAATGAAATCAAGAAAATTTTAGGAAATATATTTCATGCTAACATGGTCGATATAATTGATCGATCGAACCCTACACGTTCACTTTGGATTGGGTACAAATATTAATCATGTCACTAATTATTTTGTATTTTACTAAAGAATAACAATAATATTTTAGCTCGAGTTTTTTCTCTCTCTATTTTGGTTCCTTTTTTATTTTTATTTACACTTATTTAATCATATAAATATCCTAATAAATGTTATTGTCTTCTTTAATACAAAATAAAATGATAACTAAGATTGGTGATAGACTTAAGCATGATAAATCAGGTAAATTCACAATAATTGTATCCTTTGAATTCTCAATAAATAAGATTAGAGTCCTAAATATTTTGAAGAATAAGGGGATAAGTAACTGCAAGATAATCACATAGAGTAATAGCAATTATGTTCTACATGTTTTATTGTCTTTGGAAATTTTGTTATTGCATATATTTGATATAGATATTGTGATCATGAATATTTTGTTTTGCACTCAGTTAATAGAAATATGCAGGAATATTTTACTAAATAAAAGAAAACATACACTCACCAAGATATAGATAGCTTGTTTTCATTCAACCTTTACTTACTGCCAGTTCTATGTTGATGAAAATTCATGTATCAATTAATTGATCATCATAACATTATATCATTGTACTTTTACATATTTTATATATTAAATTTTACTTTTTTTATTATAAAATAATGTCTAAATCGAAGTAAAATTCTATCAAAGGTAAGTTATGTGATCGACACCTCGATACCACGTACAACAGCTTTACGTTAGTGTAAGCTTGAATAGATTGAATGTTATTACATCTCGGATTTGTGCATCATAATTAAGTTTGAATAACTATATTAGGAGTTGACTATAAAAAAGAGCTCTTAGAGAGAGACCTCTCTAAAAAATCAAAAGTCAAATCTTATAAATTGGATTAGCTTAAACATAAAGAGATATTATTGTGAGCACTCCGATATAGTTTTATATGATTTAATGTGAACCAAATTGGACAAAATTGATATCGATTGAAATCAACTTAGGATTCGATCTTAATTGACTCCGAATCAATATACTAATTAAAACAATCAAAACTAACTTTAGTACAATCAAATAAATGTATTGTAGTAATATGATTTTTTTTCCTTTAATTTATGTGATTTTAATGATTACAAGAAATTAAGAATGCTTTATCGCTAATAAATATTATTTGGTCTTATTTCATTAGGATTTAAATTTCACATATAAGATTTCAATGGCATTCAAAAATGAAAATTGAAATATGATTCTCCATTTCATTTTTCAAATCATAACTCTAAATTATATCAAATAAATAGTCACACACTTCATACTTTTCAATACATGCAATGGCTTGGAAATTGTCAGCCCCCATTTTTTTATCTACTTTATTATTATTATTATTTGTATATATATATATATAATTATAATTATAATTAATTAAGAACAAGTCAAAATCTTGTCGAAGACTTTATTTCGAGAAGACGCGAGCTCAAGATGGATCCAGTGTCATCTCGGCCGTCCGTTTGAAAGTCAAGACATCAGACGGCCACGGTTCGGAGGAAAGGATCCAAGTCTCTCTGCCGCGTCCGCTACCTCGTCCTCTTTCTCCTTCCCGCAAAGCCAAAAAGGAAGCAGAGAGGAAAGCAGGGGAGGGAGAACGATGCATCAGGATCAGGGATTTATACCCAGCTAGCTCGCTACTCGATCTCTGTGCGGAGTTCCTCAGCGATGGAAGCAGGAGCAGGCGACAGGAAGGTGGTGGTTGTGGGTGGTGGCGTCGCCGGCGCCATGCTCGCCAAGCACATGCAGTTTGACGCCGACGTAGTCCTCATCGACTCGTAAGATCCCAATTCTCTCTCTCTCTCTCTCTCTCTCTCT